GAACCTCACTAGATTGCTTTTTGTCCAGCTCTACAGTCTGTCCAAATCTCCCTGAATGGCCACACTGCCTTCAGGTGTATCAGCCAAACCTCCCAGTTTCATACCATCAGCAAACTTGCTGAGAAGAACTAGTTCTTGGTTTTCCATTAAATACTTGATGGGTAATGTGCTCATTATAAATAGGTAGTGGGTTTTTGTTGGGTTTCTTTGACTTGTACTGTCTTTAAAGGAGTTTGGATGAGGCGGCCTTCGCTTTTGTGGGTCCCCATCCTCAATGTAAAATGCTGTTACCAGGGTCCAAGATTTTTATCAGTTACCTAGCTTACTCTTAAATTTTTATGGCTACTGGCTAATTTAAACTTGCGAATAACATCAATCTTCTGAGACTTGCTTTTGAGCTAACAAGCATTCTGAGCCTACCTAGTTTTATGTCTATTTTAGCATGTAGGCAAAACTTAAGTTTTCCTTTTACATTTAATTTTCTCGTTATCTCTGATCTATTACTGCAGTACCTTGGGAAATATTTGACAGTGCAGAATTGGAGGGCAGGTAGTTTAAGTGGGCTTACCTCCCCTCTCCAAAAGACAGTCTTGTTCCTACTGCATTTTATCCAGTCTAAACAAGACTCAGGATTTATATTAAGAAATTCTTATTTAAGCTTCAGATTTTTTAAAAAATAGTAGCCTAACTCTTATTTACTCCTTTAGGTCTGGATATGGAGGAAGGAAAAGAAGGTGGGACATGGCTGGGAATCAGTAAGAAAGGCAAGATGGCAGCCCTGACAAACTATATGCAGCCAAAGATCGATAAACATGCAAAAGGAAGAGGTATGAGGTAGTAGAAACAGAAAAAGAGGGAAGGGAACAATGAAGCCCTGGTGTCCCAGTAAAACAGTGATTACAATATTAATTTTTTTCAACTTCACTTTATGGAAAATAAAATGCTTGTGTGCTGCAAATGGAAGTTGTGAACTCCTGAGTTTGAGTGCCTGTGTGGGGAACTTGCCTTGATATTGATATTCTAATCAAGCAGGCAAAAGTAAAACAAGATGTAGTGCCTAGAGCCTGAAGTCACATTCAGACAAGAAATGCAGCACCATCTTCTCTTGAAAGCAGTTCTCACTAACAGTTGCAACAACTAAGCAAGCATTGAGCTAGAGCTGTATTACAGTAGGCTTTTTGAAATGTTTGTTCTTGTTCAGATGTCTAAATCAAGGAAACAATGCAACTTCCATTATGCTGGAGGTTAGCCTAAAAGATTATTGTAGTCCCTTCTCCCCTACACATTGGTAAGTCAGAGGAGCAGATATAATTAAAAGAAAAAACAAACCTCCTTTGGAAAGTGCATCTGTGGGTTTTTTTAAAAGTGAAAATAGGTCTTTTTGTAACTGTCTTAAGGTACAGCATTGGGAATGTGTTGCAATGGCAAAACATGTTATATAGAGAAACAGATGAACAATGTAATTTGTATTTCATTTGAGGGTCATATATGAGGGACATGAAGCAAGACAAGAAAGAGTTTGTCTAGGTGGGAGGAGAGGAAAGGCACATTCAGTATTGAATAGTTAGTAAATGTGGCTTCTGCAGAAATTTTGACCAAGAGTTTTTGACAGTTCTTCACAGTAATAGTTAAACTCTTAATGTGAATGTGATACAATGCTGTAAGACTTTCAAAGGCTGCCTAGTTATTGGTTCTTTTGGTGTGGGTTTTTTTTTCATTGTTACACTGTGTTGGTGACAGGAATCCTTTGTTTTACCAACCTGTCAGAATAGTGAGTTCACACATACAAGCTGCTCTATGTACTTCTCTCTCTTAGGTGCTCTTGTAACAAACTTCTTGACTGCAGATCTGGATAGCTACTCTTACCTGAAGAAAGTTTCAGTAGAAGGACATCTTTACAATGGATTTAATTTATTAGCAGCTGACTTGAAGTAAGTCTACAAAATATCAGTTCAAATGGAGAAAGATAATAGCAGTGACATATTTGTTATATTACATACACATAAGTGTAACAATACAGAACCCATTCACAAACTAAAGCTAGAGCTCTTTGTTGCTAATTAGCATTCAAGGTCCTGATGTTACTCTAGTCATAATTTCCTGGGCTATTTTTTCATCTTTTTCATCACTGGAGGACTATCTTATAGTCTATTCTAATTATTGCTTCATGA